GGACCTGTAGAGGCCGCTGGCGCCCGCGCCTCCCGGGCAACGCGGCGCGCAGGCCGGGCCCGGGGACAGCGAGGCTCCAAGGCCCGCTCCCCACGCCTCCCACCCACTACGCAGCGCGCGGGGAGACGCAAAGTTTGGGTCCCGCCGTTAGGCCCGAACTTTCCCGCCCGTCCGTGCAGCTTCCGCCGTTTCCCACCCGCCGGGCCCCCGGACTCCGGCCCACCGGCAGACACGACTTACTCCGGCTGCTCCCGCAGCGCCTGGGTCTCCGCGGCGGCCATCTTGAACTTCCTGACTTCGCGGCGGCGGCGGCGGCGGCAGCTCCCCGGACGGTAGAACCTAGTGGAAGTGAAGGAAGGAGGGAAAGGAGCCGTCGCGCATGTGCACAGCGCACTGGCAAAGTGGTGGTCTGAGTCCGCGCTAAGAATCCGGAACTAAAACCTTATTTCCGGGGGCGGGACGCAGAACGTCATGGCGCAACTTCCGGTGCGGTGGGCGGTTCTGCAGATGCTAAGAGCGAGGGTCTATTGGTCTGATGTCTGGGGAATGTTAGAATTAAGCGTTTGAACCGAGCGTGGAACTGGGCTTGGTGGCGCACGCCTGTAATTCCAGCACTCGGGAGGCTGAGGCCGGAGGATCGTTGCGAGTTCGAGACCAGCCTGGGCTACAAAGTGAGCTCAAGGCCAGCCTGAACTGCATAGCGAGACTTTGTCTCAAAAAAGACACAAGAAAATAAAAAAAATAAACTGGACGTGGTGGCACATGCCTGGAATCCCCTTTTCGGAGGTTGAGGCTGGAGATTACCCCCAGTTCAGGCTAGCCTGGGCTACATAGTGAACTCAATGCCATCTTGAACTACACAGACTGTTTAAAAAAAAAAAAAATGGAATTGAGCATTTAAGAACGAAAGGAAAAAAAAGCACTTAATGTGAAGCTTGACAGGGAGGGTAGCAAAGGCAAGGGATATTCACATCTTGCAGTTTCGAGGGGGTGTTCGCTATGGAGGCCCACAGTTTAGTGGAAAATTGATGTTCCTGTCCCACTTTTGGTGATTGGTTCGTGGAGAGCCAATTTAATTTATTGCACGGGGATATTAATTATCTCCTGGTTCCTACTGGTCTACTGCTTTTTATAGTAAGTTTTACGGGGAGATCACGCATCGTGGAAAGGAGTAAGTGGGGGATAAACAGGCCCCCAAATTGCTCAGGTTTGATGTCAGATTGCAGCTGAAGCCAAGTGACGACTTGCTAAAGCACGTTTGAAAAGAGCATAGTGAGCTGTGGTGGTGGCACACGTCTGTAGCCCCAGCACTGGGGGCTGAGGCAAGAGGATTGCATGTTCGAGCTGGGCGGGCAATTTAGCAATTTGGCAAGACCCTACCTCAAAAAGGGGGTTAAGGGGGCTGGGGATTTAGCTCAGCGCCAAAGCACCTGCCTGGCAAGTGCAAGGTCCTGAGTTCGACTCCTGATACTGGAGAAAAACCAAAAAGTGGTTGAGGTGTAGCTCGGAGCGAAGTCCTTGAGTTGAATCCTCTGCCAAAAAATCCGAAAAATACTGCTGGCAAAAGTTCACTTAAATTCCTTGCCAAATGCATTTGCACAGTATTCCTAGTTTGAGAAGTGAAATGGGAAGTCTTTGGGGGCTACTCAAAACTATGTTGCTGTTGTAGTTTTGGGAGAGTGGGGTTTCTTGAAGGCGAGTTAAAAGGAATCGAAAAACATTTCATCAGTTTAATCATTAACCAAACGTTAACGGAGTGATGAACATAGGCCCCCATCTTTCATTTTGTGGCTCTTCCCCCCCTCAGGAACCTTGGTACCGGAACGTCGTACTAGGGAGGAGCGGCTCGGGGGACCCGTGCGGAAGGGACCGCTCAGGAGCTGAGCGGCCCCCGGAAGTCTAGGAGGCGCGCGCGCGCCGGCGTCCGCAGGACTGCGAGGGCAGGTCCCCGCCCGGAAGTTCAGCCCCAGTTGGGGCGGCTCCCTTCTCTGCGTCCTGCCTGGGGCCTGGCCACCGCCCAGCTAGGGCGTCTCCGGCCGGCCCGCGCTCCCCACCCCGCCCTCCTCGGTCCTGAGCGCTGCGCTCCCAGGGAGAACGTTTCCGGAGCTGCACGCCCGGCGGCGAGCGAGTATGGGCCAGATCTCGGCCCGCGTCGCCGCTCCGCCCCTCCCTGCGGCCCGATCGGACGCCGCGATGCTCGAAGCCGAGGTCTCCGGGTTTGAGGATGGAGACCACGGAGCCCGGCCCCCGGCTTCCCGCCGCCGACAAGCAGTACAAAATTTTACTGGTCCGGAGATAAGGTTTTGGGGACAAGCATGTACTTTTGAAACGCCTCGATTTTTAAAAATACCGTCTTTCTTATAGGCGTTATTCCAGACAAGTTATGCGTTCCAGAAATACTTAATATTTTAAAATTTTGTTAGTCCCCTAGGGAGGAATTAAAGTTGCACCTTCTAAAGCTGTACTGCCAGCGTCTGCCTCATTAAGCTCTCAATAGACTCCTTGTAACATAGACTGCAAACAAAAGTAACGCGGATCAAAATTGTTTGAAGAAACATATTGGCCAGGTATTATCCAGTTGTCAGAAATGTACATAGATCACTTTACCATTACTCTCCTGGGTGTGGTGGTGCACGCTTGTAATCGCAGCACTCGGGAGGCTGAGGCAGGAGCATCACCACAAGTTCGAGGCCAGCCTGAATTACAAAGTGAGACCCCGAGACCTGTATCAAAAAAGGGGGGAGGGGAGAATAAAGAAGATCAAGACTTGAAATTTGGGGACAATAATACTAATTCTTTATTACAGTACATAAATGTTTCCCTTTATTCCATGAAAATATAGCTCAGTTTTGTTTGTTCTGAAGCAGTTGCAGTACGTTTATGAAAATCAGCCAAATAAAGAAAAAGAAAGCTCAAACCACCCTTCATTACCTGGAACTCACCTTAATATGTCAGCTTCTTTTGGCCTTTTTTCATGCAAAATACTAAATTTTCTTATTCTCATATGTAGACTGTGATTGTCGGCTTTTTATTAGAACATGTTTCAACTTTTTACACCATAGTCTCAGTAAACTTTATAACTACATTGTATCCTTTCACTACTAGATGTACAAATTGTTTCACTTTTACACTCTTGTATGCAAGTCTGGGACTCTCCTTTGTCACGTGTGTGTGGTGTTTTTTAAATACAGGATTATATTATAAATGTAGTTAATAACTTGCTAAAGGTAGCAGAGTCCAGTGTGGGTTAGGGGAGCAAGGCATAAAGCTGGAAAGGGTGTGTATAGGGTTTGGATTTCATTCAAAACTTACTGGAAAGAATAAATTGAGCGTGGGGAGCGACATGATTTGTCAGAAGGCTCACTCGGCTGCTTTGTGGAGCTAGACTTCTGGGGGCCAGGGAAGACAAGAATCCCCTCCCAGTTAGAAGTCTTTCCATAACCCAGGGAAAGACAGTGATGGCTTAGACCAGCGTGTAAGAGAGTAAAAGTGACTGGATGCTGATGTGTTTTGAAGAGAGAAGTTACAAGGTTCATTGACTTACTGTGTGGGGAGTGCCAGAGAAAGCCACTGAAGTTTCTGGCTTGAACAATTGGACTGATGCCGTTGCCTTTTAACAGAGATAAAGGAGGAGCGAGTTTCAGGCGGGAGAACTGAAGAGTTCTCCGGTCATGTTACAGCTTGCAGAATCCATGAGGTGTCTGGCTGATTGGGTCTTAAAGACTTCAGCTACTGCTCTTGAGGCGTCTATTTGTCATTTTTAAAATAAGTTTTTGCTATATATTATTTTGTTTCTGTTAGGTACATGCACGCTTGTAAGTTATGTGTTCTTAGTGGGTTGATTCTTTTATTGTTATAAAACATTCCTATGTTTCCCTAGTGACTTTATTTAAAACCTGCTTTGTCTAGTAGCAGTACAGCTGTTTTAGCGCTCTTGTAGTTGCTGTTTGCATGACTTACACTGTTGAATCCAGAGTGTTTCTCCTTTAGGCATCGTGTTGTTGGAGTTACAGCCTGACAATCTGTGCCTTTTGTTTCATCCAATCATATCTTACTGATTGTTATTTGTACAGTTGGGCTCAGCGCGTGCCATCTTATTTCTGTTTTCTGTGTCCTTAAGTCTTTTTAGTTCTGTTAACCTCTTTTACTCCTTTATTTTGCACCCAATAACGCTGTTCTAATAGTTCTCCTCTCCTCATCCTCTTCTTTTTTGTTATAATTAGAGCTCATGATGTACTTCTTAACTTTAGAGTCAGCTTTCGTTTATACTGACAATTCCAGTGAGATGCAGAAACCTTACTCCAACACGGTTTTATTGTATTTCCCCCATTTGGGGGACTGTAAATGTTACAAACCAAACAATGCATATATTACTTTATGTCTTTTAAAGAAAATGGAAGAATGAGAGAAAACAAGTGCCTATTTATAGCTTTCCTGGAGGTAACCTTAGTTATCTTTTCTGGTTCTCTTCACTTCTTGTTGTGGATTCAAGTTTTGTTTTTTTTTTAAAGATAGGTGCAGCGAAGATCTGGTCTGGTAGCAAATTGCAGGTGTTGCAACTTACATTTGCAGTGCACTGCAGTATGCATTGTTATGTCTGCGAGTTTGTACCCCTTAGCCACCATGCAGCCTCCCCCCAGACCCGGGTAGCCCTTATCCTCAGTTGCTGTGAGTTCTCTTTTTGGGTTCCACATATGAGTGAGATCATGTGCTATTCGTCTTTCTGTGTGGCTTATTTGTGACAGTGTCACGTCTTCTAGGTTCATCTGTGTGACAGGGTTCCTTTTTCAGGGCCAATATCCTTGTGGGTACGCGTACGTTTTCTTTATCCACCGTCTGTTGGTGGGCACTTGGGTTGATTTCTCATCTTAGCTGCTGTGAGCCGTGCTGCAGTGAACGTGGAAGTCTCTTCAATACACTGAGTTTATTTCCTTTGAATATATGCCCAGAAGTGAGATGGGTGGATTATAAGGTAGTTCTCTTTTTAATTTTTTGAGGAACCTCCAAATGCTTTTCTGTAATGGCTATCCAGTTTACATTTCCACCAGTAGTGTAAAAGCGTTACCTCACCAGCTCTAGCGTTTCACTGTTTGGTAATAGCCATCCACACAGGTATGAGGTTGCTCCTCTTTGTGGCTTTAAGTAACATGAGCACCTTTTTATGTACCTTTTGGTTATTTATATGTCCTCTCTGGGAAATATCTGTTTGGGTCCTCTGCTCTTTTTTTGTTTTTTTGAGACAGAGTCTTGCTATATAGTTCAAGCTGACCTTGAACTCGCTTGTGTAGTCCAGGCTGGTCTTGAACTCACAGGATCCTCCTGAGTGCTGGGATTACTTACAGGTGTGCACTACCGCGCCCTGCTATCACTTTTAAGATAGGGCTGAGTGCGAGGTCCTGAGGTCATTTCCCCGGGCTCTTGAAAGGGACTAAGGTAGTTCTCATGTGACCCCTTGCTCCCAAGAGGGTGGTTAGAAGGGAGTGGGCCTGGCCCCTCCCTCAATATGCTAATGCCTCCTATGTGTGCAGGCCTGGGGCCCTCACCAAAGAGGCCTTTTGCTTTTGGACTTCTCAGACTCTAGAGCTGTAAGAAACAAGTCTCTGTTATTCGCAAATTACCCAAGCTATGGAATGCTGTTATAGCAGCAGCGCAGACTGGACCAAGACAGCTGCTAATATTCTTAACCCATGTTATCTAAGATTTAATCTGTTCCTCTTACAGCCATCGTACTAAATCAGGCGTTCATGTTCGCAAAGCCATCTTCTAACTGACTCTGCTAATTTTCGGTCTCTTCCTGAACTGGTGAGAGTGGTTCCTAAACGTTTTGGTCTGAGGGAACCTTTAAATCCTTAAAAATCATTGAAGTACCCTGAAAAGTATTGAAAAACCAACTTAAACTCAGTTGCTCCTATCTACACTCTCACAACTTCTGACACAAGATGTACGTGGACATGTGGCTTCCACGGTAGGCTCTGGCTGGCGTCCTCCCACTTAGTCCCTGTCTGTCAGGGCAGCGCTGGCTCTCAAGGTCCAGGGTTCATCCCTGAGAACCCTCTGCTGCCAGGCACAAGGTCCAGGATGTTTGACCTGTGCTTCTGGCTGACCCTTTCCACAGATTCTGTTAGTTTGCTGGCGTGGCTCACAGGACCCCAGGGAACACGGGTTTATTATAGAGGACATTATGTAGGCCACAGAGGAAGAGATGCTTAGGGAGAGGTACGTGGGAAGCAGCATTGATCCTGGTGTGTTTGGCTGGCTGGATCTCTGAACCCTGTCCCTTTGGGGTCTTCTGTGGACTTCATTGTATAAGCATGATCAGAAATGTGACTGGACAGGAAGCGGTGCTAACAGTAACAGACTGAGTGGGGAGACCCAGCCTCGGCAGTGTTCTTTCTTCCCAAGTGTGGGACAGACCCCTTGTGAAATGGGGGTCTTGTGATCCACTAGACAAGGTATTACTGCAGTGTTAGCTCACTGGACGCAAAGAAACCGAGCAGAACTCAGAGAAACGGAACTTCATTGTGCCCGCAGGCACAGAGGGGTTCAGCACCCTAAAGTCTGAGCCCCACGTCTAGGTTAGGAGAGCTGTCGTAGGGCTTGTGGCGGGAGAAGGCAAGCCGAACAAAGGCAGTTAGTTACTCAGAGGTGACAGGTTTACAGCTCTGCACATCGCGGTGGCCTTGGCTGGGCAGGGAGGGAGGTAGCAGGATGTAACGAAGCTGTTTGATGTTATTACGCCAAGGTGCAGCTGGTATGGGCCAGGGAGGAAAGGGGAGGGGGTGCAGCCAGGGAATGTCTGGGTTGAAAAGTTTAGTTTTCCTCAGCAAAGGTAGATCAGAGAATTTCTTTATGGCCAGCTGCAAGCCAGAAAGGCAGGTGTAAACAGGAGTTTCTGTGACCCACTGCCTTGCGGAGGGGGATAGGAGCCAGAAACTGTGGACAGAATCCAAAAAGTGTGTATCACAAGTGCTTTTATTCATGAGTTATAGCTATAGATACTGGTTGTGATAGAGAGTAAAATGGAAACAATTTTAAATGTTTACTGATTTATTTGGAATATAAACAGTAAACCTATTATTTGTTCATGTAAATCACATTTTTTATGAACAAGTTTATTTTTCACTGTGTGCCTCTGTGTTCTAAAAGTATACAGCTGTCTATCTAGCATGGAGTACGTACTTGGGAAATGTTTTCTGGTCCTTTTCTGTGTGCGTGGTGAAGAAGTGTTTTCTGAATGAATGCATATGTTTTTAAATTGTGAGTGTGTAGACATACATGTTTTTGCTAACATGTTGCTGTTTTAGTTATTTTGCTCCTCTCTGGCATACAGTATCTGACACCTGCAACTTAAAGGATGGTCTGTAGAAGTTGCAGTCTGTAGTCGCTGGCCCCAAGGCAGGGCAGTGAGGGAGAGGAGGTGGTGGAGGAGAGCTGCTCATGGCTTGGGTCAGGAAGCAGAGAGCAAAGGGAGATGCGTCCTCCCAGGGCCCACCCACTGTGACCCTGTGTGCAGACAGCCAGACCGCTCCATGTCCTCACAGCGCAGTCACCTTCCCAAAGCCCCCCT